CTGCTGTATTTATATCTTTCTAGTACATTGAGTACAAGCCCAGAATTGTGGATGTTTTCAAAAAGGAACTGGAAAAGAAACTGGCTGTGCTCCCCTACCTCTACCAGAGTATCTCCAGTTTTGCAGCACCTCAGCATGCTTTTTGATGCCCCACTTTATAGCAGTGAAGTCGACCGTCTGGTCTGCTTTCACACCACTGGTGCCTGCGAAGCCAAAGAATACTCTGTTCTTTTGAAATACATGTTTGCGTTCTTTTGAAAGAAGAAACTTAAGTGCAGTTTTAGTTTCACAATGTACTGCTATTCCATCTGGGTCCCATTGCTTTTTTCTGGCTTTTACTGTCAGCACAACCTCAAAATTGAATTCTGTCTAGGAATTTTTCTGAATTTTATTCAGAAAAGGTGACAGCTATGAAAGGTCTGTGCAGATACTTTTGCAAGGCAATCTATTTATTAAAGCTGCTTTGTTTATTGGATTAAAAATGATTGAGAGGTTGGGCTGCATTAGAAATTTTCAGTTTACTCAGCTTTAAGAGGACCTCAAAATGTTTGGTCTTTTTTATCTTTAGAAGTAGTTCACAAATGATTAATCAAACTGCCAAGAGTCTGAAGGGTCAAGTAAATGCTACCTCTGCACTCACGACCCTGAAGAGGAAAACTGAAGCTGGAAGCTGCGGGGATTTCTCAAGTGACAAGAACAGAACATCAGAGCTCAGATATTCTAGTTTTTTACCCAGAGCACTAAGTCTACAAAACATCTCTTTTTTGACATAAACGGAGATCCAACTTTCTACTGTGCAAATGTAATGTCACAGTGGGAGTGTAAAGCTGCAATGGCAACTTAAATTTACACAAAGTTATGAGTATCTCTACCTGATGAGAAGATATTACACTTGGGAACAGACTTGAGTCTTGATATATCTGGAGAGATGCTCCGAAGGGGAAGTGCATCACACTGTATGGAGCCAGAATATGTTTCCTGAAATGATTCCAGTCACATATTGAAAAAGCATATTAAATAAATGCAAAGTTGCAATTTTTTACAGAGTAATTTCCCATCACTGTGTTTTCTGTACTATCTAAATGCTCAATAGACAGTACAAATAAAATGCAGTAAACCAGAAGAAATTATGTAATTCTAATATTTGTGTTTTTCCAAAGCTGACAGCAATTTTGTATGCAAGTTTAACTATCAGTAAGAACCAAAAGCAGCAGCATTAAGAATCAAAATATAAAAGCAAATCTGTATAACTCTATATAAGCAAGCTGTGTAGAGGTGTAAGGGAGCAGAAGACAATCTCTTACAAGTTGCACTCATTGTGTACTGCATTTCTCCTCAAGGGGATGGCTTTCCCACATTCACAGGATGCACCAAACATGCCCTTCTTATTTCTGCTTACCCACTCTTTACTACCTTCACCTATATGGCTATGCATTTTTACACCCCGGCTCAACTAATGCATTTTATGCCTTTCCTGATTGCACAGGAAAGTAAACTGCAGACCAACTCCCCCTTAATACGTTAACCCTTTAAGCTCTCAGGATCTTTAATGATGCCAATATACCAAATGCAATATGTAAAATATTTACCTCGTGGGTATTCACAGGTATATTTAGTGATATCTGCTCCGTATCTGCTTGCTTTCCACTCTTGTAAATAGATTGTGATTCATATAGTGACTGGAAAAGACGTATTTACTTGTATTACATTTCTGCTAAAAGATGAGATGATAGCTCTGTACAAACACATGCTTCAGCCAGATACGAGATTAGATAAATTACAAAGGAGATGATTACATTTCTTTTAGCAAGCAGAAGTTACCAACTTATTTGACCAAGTCATGACTGTAACAAAAGCCACTTACCTTTGATCTCTTTAATAGAATTACTGCTTCCAGCATAGCTATTTCATCAAATGTTCGCAGCACTGGCTCAAGGTCTATTAAACATTCTAAACAAAGAAAAAGTATTTTAATGAATGATTTAAAATGGAAATTAAGTTTTTAATTTGATAAAGCTACTTTTTTATATTTACAAAAGCAGTTTGTCTATAGATACATATCAAACCACTTATGCTGCTAAACAGAAGTTTCTTCCTTTCACCTGTTGCACGTGTTTCACATCACCAGAAGAAATCCTGTCCTGATATGGCCACCTCGGCACCCTGTATCAAAAGAGATCCAGGACTGCACCAGATTGCAAGTCTTACACTCCTGGAATGGATAGATGGGTGGGTTTGGTATGTTTCAAGGTAGATCCAACAAGCTGATTAGCTAAATGGAACCATACAGCTGTCCTCTCATTCCAGCAGATTTGCTAAAGATTTATATGAGAAAAATAATAACAACCTCCCATTATAGCAATATCTAGAATAGATGCTGTGAGGCAGGGCCAGAGAAGATGAGATACTCAAGTCACTGACCTATCACATCCACTAAATACAAATGATACTGTCCTCATTCCCAGCACAGGCAGCAAATCAGAGAAGCTAAAATCATCTGCTCAGATAGGGAGGGACATGACAGTCCAATGATCAACTGACAACCTGTACTATGCACCCTTTCTTTCCAATGCTTAAAAAACTAAATATTTCAAATTTTGAGATAACTGTGTTGTAAAAATATTTCTTTGAAACTGTGCTCAAATGCCACAAAACCTCAGGAGAGGATGATGGCATGTCACAATTCCTCTGCATTTCTATGAACTCCACCGACTCAGCAAAGTCCATTGACCAAACTAGAAATCCATCACACAACATCCTTATTAACATATTTCTAGTTTTTACTATAATTTTACCACTGTTCTTCCATATTAACATTTTTCCACTAGCATCTTCAAGACATACATTCAATATTGGGATTCTTATGTTCTTGCATCAGCTAAAACAGAGTTTTAAAGGTCTGGCACTCCATTTTCCACAATGAAATATTAGCACTGTTGATTTTTGTTGATTATAATCAGTTAGATATACATTCCAAGTACATAGAGCAACATGATGATAAGTAGTCTTTATCCCTTATTTATAAGGGAAACCAATTTTTTTATTTAAAGTTTATGTAACAAAGAGGGGATTTGGTTCTTATGTTCTATACCCCGCTGTGCTATGGTAATTGCAAAATTTCCCAATCAGAGAGCTTTACTTCTCTTAATTTTGCAACAATTCTGCAACTTCCACTTTCTTTTTATAATAGTAAAGTAGAGGAAAAAGCAAGGCATTTCTTCTTCAAAGACCATCTTACTACAGACATGGCACTAATTAAAGAACCCAAGTTAGCTCATACTGTAGAACATATCTCAGATAATTACCCCTTCATTGTGACTACAAACTTTGGTTGCTATTTTGTTTTGTTGAACTGACACAGGAAAATAAGGATACATAAGGAAATACCATGATCTCTATTCTTTTTGATTTTAGAAAATATTATAAATGGCCAACATAAACTGATATTTCAAAATATTCTTAATTAAAAATAAAAATGCCTCAAAAAAAAGGTCATGTAATTTTGGACTGTAAATTGAACATGAAGATACTCTGTGTTTGGATGTGTGCCCATTTTGTCCTCTGCCAAACTGGTGCAAAAACTGAAGTTATGAACATTTCTTTCTAAGCTATCCGAACAGCAATTTTCTAACACTTTCCAACTCGAAGTATGCCTATAAAGGCTTTCAAATAAACAAACTTTTGTTCACCAAAGCTACCAATGAAACATTTAAGATTGTGGAACATTACAAAACACCCCAGGAAACCAAAACCAAAACTAAAACCAAAAAGAACCAGAAAAACCTAAAAATCCCCTGGTACGTCAGGTTTGAGTCATTACACCTTCAGTTTAACCACTGAGAATAGAACTGTTTAAGCCAGAGCTCTTTGTACTGTTCTACCCTTGAATACATTCAGTAACTCTCTTATTCTATGTTTTTGTCTCTCCAAGGTGATCCAGCTTTCCCTACAGAATTAGGATTGTGTTTTCTAAAGGAGTAAGGAGGAAGTTTTTAAAGCACACGCAAATTAAACAAGCACTGCAAGGCAGCTGCAGGAACTATTAGTTTCACTATGCTGACATTAGTGATCACAGCAACAGTCACAAGAGGAAATTCCACAGTTGAAAACAGGTAAGCAGTTTCTGCCAATTTTGATGGAATGACCTTTCTGCAATGGCCAAAGAACCAAAAGTCACCACAAAAATAAGCATGTTAAGGAGAAATTGTTAGGGGCGATGAATTTGGACTCCACATACACCAAGTATGTCAATTAAGTGCAACAAACACAGGTTTGCAAAAATTGAAACAAAACTTTTCCAGTTCACACTACAGCATTCTAATCTCTATAAGCTTGCATCTCTGTCTTATTCTCTAAATTCTGCAACCCACTGTAAAAAGGGCTGAAAGTATCTATATATGGTCTCACGGAAAAAAAGCTGGACAAAGGATAGTCAAGCACATGGGTTCAACCAGTTCCTGCTTGATCTCGGAGGTGGAACAAAGATAAAGTCTCAGTGAAAAAGATTTATACTGAGATGCAAACACAAGATGAAGTCATTGTAGCTTATCTGATGTACGATGGGTTTTGGTATGTTTGCCAGCTTGCTCATAAATCCCACAGTACTCAGTCTACACTTCTCCCCCCTTCTTAAAAAATAAAATGTTCCCTTCAACAATAAACAAAAAAGTCCAAGTGCAAGTAGTTATACAAAGCATGCTGCTTTTTTACAAGTAAATTAGAGATGGCAAATGCAAAACACTCCAGCTAAAAGCTTGTTTTTATGGTACACGTGAAGGTCCATTCATAAATTTTGTTTACAGACATGGTGGAAGCAAACAAGCACCTTAGTGTATGCAACAAGAAAGAGCACATATATCTCCACATCTTGACCACTTCCCTTTTCTGACTATAACTTAGCTCTGTAAGTACCATGTTCAACAGAAATCTGGCAATTTAAAAATTATTATGCAAGGCAAACTCACTTAAGAACGATGGTCTTTCATCTGGATTTTGTGCCCATCCACTTTCTATCAATCTTACGATGATCACTCGATGAGGAATGCCCATTGATAAACTTTCTGCACTTAAGTCTAGCCGCTGTCCTTGTGACACACTATACATTATCTGCAAGGGGTTTATAACTTCTGTCAAAATAGACATTGTGCAGTCATTAGAAATACATGCAATATAAATAGCTTACTATAGGAAAAATAATTCAGTTTGCAGATAAGGCATTTATAGTTCACGAAAATAAGGTTATATTCCTCTTTGTAAAAAGAAATATATTTTTAATTTATCAAACATTGTAATGTAAAAAATATAGAAAAAGAGTCTAATACTAAAAGCAACTCAAAGCACTTTTCAATAAGTTTAAAAGTTGAGTCATTAAAAAGTAACTCCTAAAATGAAGTCCCCAGGTACCCATTTCTCAGGTTAAGCCTTATGTAAAATAAGGCTCAAAAAATAAATAAAAGGAAGACATGGCCTTACCTTCAAATGGCTGTTTCCTTGACATCACTTCCCACATAATAATTGCATAACTGTTTAAAGTATAAAAAGTATAGAAGATGTTATTTTAGATTACCAACACTTAATATGTGCTTAGCTTTACATTTTACTAAAAATATTTTACCAAAGTGATCCCAAATGACTATAGCTAACTATAGTGATGACCTGAATATACAAAAACTATCAGAAATTTTAAACAGTGACTTCAGCTAGAACTGGTTAATAATATTAAGTACAGAAAAGATATATGGTATATAATCTCCTATTCCTATTCGTAATAGCTCTGCTCTACTAATATGTTGTGAATTACATACACACAGTTTAAATCTCAGTATGCAAATTACAGTGAGCCTCAGAGTCCCAACTGCTCCGTCTTAACTGCAATACTGTGGCATCTTCACCATCTGGATCAACACTCTGTGACATTCCCATGGGAAGCAGGGTCCTACCAGGGAGGATAGCTTTGAAAAGTTTTTAAAATTTTGCTTCAAAAAAATGGAAATCCATTTTCCACTGAAGCAATAAAAATGAAACTATGCAAAGAATTATTATTTTTTTTTTGCTTAAGAATTACACTTACCAGAGTGTTTGCTCAACTACTCGAATAACTGTACATAAACCCAGTATTTTCTACATCACTAAAAAGTGTCAAATTTTGCGTTCAGTTTACATTTAACTGCCTCTCAGCATTACACCATATAACAGCTACCAATCAGGAATAATAATAATAAAAAAAAAAAGAACGAAGTAACTGACGCTTAAAATCAATCATAGAAATTGAGCTTTCCTAACCACTTACTTCGTTCACACCGTAACATTTGTCAATGATAAAATTTATTCAAGTAAATTTTAATAAAAGCAGTCCTCCCTGTTAGAAAACCTGCTTTTGATGCATTCCTGAGAAATTCATGCAGGATGATTTTTCTGGCATGGCAAATTGTTCCTTATGTGAAAGTTAACGCTGCTTGACTGTTGACCCAGCCTTTCATTCAGTTTGGAATCTCTCTACAATTAAAGGCTATTCTCTCAATTCTACAACAATGCAGAATACCACTTCCTGTTCTCCTTTCCTATTTCTGCTTCATAGCATCTCTTTCTAATCCTGAGGCACATACCTTTCTCTGTGACCCTTCTGGTGGTCATTTCCTTCACTCTCTCTCTACTTTCCTGTCTTTCTGCCTTGAACTGCCATCACTCTTGATGATACTGTCTCAGTTTCTTTTCTCTCTTTTCCAACAATCTCTTCCTTTCCTAATTTATCAGTTTTCTAAGCCGTTCTACAGATTTTTTTCTCTCTTATTTTCTCCCATTTGGTTGTTATTCCTCTGAACACTTTTTTTTTTCTTTCTAAGAAACATCTGTCTTCCTCATCTGCACTCACTCATTAAACCACCAGCCACTCTTTCTTTCCCCATAATATGCCATTATTCCTCTTCAGTGTCTTCCTGGTCCAGCTTTTCTTAGCTTTGCAGGAATGTAACCATCTCTATTCTTTGGACAGGAAAGTCAGGGAACTTTATGTGCCCCATAAGCATAAGGAATAACTGAGGGAAGTAGTGGTCTCCCTGGAATTCAGTAAGACCCTGTGAGATTGGTTCAACTCTCACCAAAATACAACCCCATAAAAGATGGCTGAAGGTAGAAGTGGTGGAGTGCAACAGAGAGATGGATTTTGTCACAGTGAAATGCCTCTTCACACCTCCTCAGTCTCAATGATTTACACAGGACAAGTCTCTCCAAGATTGTCCTAGTCATCTTTGATCTTTCCAACTCTTTTCAGATTAGGTTCAGATTAATAATTTCATACTATTAATAATTACATCATTAATAATTTCAGGTTATTATAATTCTAATTCTAATATCCTAAGAGCAATTGCTGTTTTGTTTTATAATTCTAATTCTAATATCCTAAGAGCAATTGCTGTTTTGTTATATGGGTTGCCACTACTCTACTACTTCCTGTTCTATTACTTCTACTGCTCTGAAGTGACTGATGCAAATCTACCTGAACTTGCATAAAATATGCTATTCCTTAAGGAAATCTCTCTAACTACGTCCTCCAACCTCATTACCCTGTTTTTATCTAACCCCTTAAAAAAAAAATGTTTTCTTCTTTCCCCTGAGTACATTCTACAAATTATGTTAATTGATCCACACAAATGACAAAGGTATGTGCAATGAGATAATGGTGTGAAC